AAATGGAATTAAATACATATTTTTTTTAATGAAATTTGAATAAATATTCATTGTACTTTAATATTGATTAAAGTTACATAAAATCTCGGCTTATGTGCAAGTTCTCGATAGCGTAGCTTATAAAGTGTGTCTTGGGTATGGAAGGATCTCAAATACTCGGATGAAAGTCAATATGTTGTAAGAATTGTCGGGAAATAATTTCAGTTTAATGTCTGAAATTACATCCAACTTTATTTTCTTCATACGATATTTTTTTCCACGATATTCCATCCACTTGGAATTTTATTGTTTACCTTTTCTTTTTATCTGATATTTTTTAATGTATTTTCGTGTAACTTTTATCATAAATATATAACTCGCATTCCGGATTTCGGATAATATATATGTCAAAGGAGGCAGATAATTAGGAGGAAAAAAGTGCAGAATTTCATTGGAGAGCGACGAAAAAAACGATTTATCGAATTTTGTCATATCGAGTAGCCAGGGAATAATTCTCTTAAATAAGTCATTCGTCTTGCTTCGGCTACTCGATTTTTCGCTTTTGAATTCACGCGAGTGAAGCAGCGTTTGCTTATTCATCTCCTTATGGACGTAACCTCCATTTGCAATCGCTGCGTTAGTATCGATCGTTCTCTCGTTTCTCCCGACCAAATTCAAGCAGGACAAGTCGCCATATATGTGCGCAAGCCTCGCGAGGACAATGGCGAAATATGAAAATCGCGATCGGGTAGGCGAAGAGGCTCGGCTTGTTGCGTAAAAATCGTCGCGGTTGCATTCACGCGCCTCAAAATTGATTATCTTTGTAGACGGAATTTTCGACGAGTGCTTCGAAAACAATAACAATAAATAAATAAATAAATAAATAAAAATAACAAAAAATTGCCATTGAGAAGTATTAATAGTGTCCCTTTATGTTTGCTTGCTTGCTCAATCGATAGTTATTACGACATCGATCGACAATTTTTGGCCCTTTAAACTCTCATCGATCTTTCAATTGAAATTGAAGCAGAAAAATCTTCCGACGTCTTCGCGACGCTTTTCCAAAAAGTCGCTCAGCTCTACTTACATTCGCCTCGAGCATGAATTTCCGAAGGACACAATCTCATGCACAGTGCATATACATTCGGATCTGTAAATTCGAGGTCTACCTCTTGAGTGCTTGAAGAGAAAATTAATTAACATGTTAATTACATTAGACAGAGAAATTCCTTTCAATTCTCCATATCTCTCTCTCTCTCTCTCTCTCTCTCTCTCTCTCACTCTCACTCTCTTTACATCTTCATAAATGGTATTATTATTCGATTTTTATCGCCGGCACATTATCGTAAATACATATATTATGATTTAACGATAATAAATAATTTTAACCCGACGCTTTTCACGTATTCTTAATATGGTCATTCGCGTCTCGACATTGTAATTGCATTGGATCATTTGTATCGAACATACACGATTAATAATTATTAAATATGAGACAGAATTGAAATCGAACACTTATATCGTGCATTTCAATTAGTTTTAAGCCCGATGACATTGTATGATTAATTTTATAAGAAACAAATTCCACATGAAAAATACGTACAAGAATTTTTTGTCGCAGGTGACACTTATGCTTGGAGGTGCAAAATTTTAATACCCACCATTATTGCTAACTTAGTATTACGAAATCGCAAACTCAAGTTCTTGTTATATTCGAGGTTCCCGTATTATGTTTTCGATCAAGTATACATTATCGTAGTCAACTCTTAGCGATATTAGTATTTTAAATAAAAATATTTTTATACTCTAATGTAAATATTAGCGCCCATTTGATTATACTATGATTGAAATTGATTTTTTTATATTTAATGTCTAAATACGACCTTCGATTCGTCAATCATCCATCTAATATATCAATTATCATAATGTAAACAATAATCCATTCGACATTTTATTAAATACTGAATAAACTGGCGTTACCAACTGACGAGTTCAATTTCCGTTTGCAATTTTAGGCAAAAAGTATTTTCATAGTATTTGCTATGTATAGATGGTGAAGGACTAGTACTCTCACATGTCGTCTATTTCTCGGTTATTGTATTTATAATTTTGATGAAAAATGAGATAGAGAAACGCAAGTACAGATCGACCGTCGTCTGTTTATTGGTTTACGCATAGTGAAGTTCTGAGACGAGCCTTTACAAACATCCTCGCGACAGTATAGCGAAGGGGCGAGCAGGAGAAAACGTAAAAGAGAGGGAGAGAGGGAGAGAGAGAGAGAGAGAGAGAGAGAGAGAGACGCAAATGGAAAAGGCAGTTAAGAGGGAAGAAATTTTGTGAATTGGAAAAGAGAAAATGAATGAGTGCGGGAAGGACGATCGATGAAACAGCGAACAAGATAGAAAGAGATAGAGTGATACCGAAAGAAATAGAGAGAGAGAGAGAATCCATACATAAGAGAAAGAAAGAGAAAAAGGAAACTTAACCTATACGTCTCGTGCACATCTGCCTGGATTCCCGAGAAGTCTCATTCAAGCGCTGACTTTACCTGAACCCGCGTGGTTAGTTCTCTCTCTCTCTCTCTCTCTCTCTCACTCGCTCGTTCGCTCGCATCATCCACGTATACTTATGAACCGCCTCCCTCGACATTCCTTTGTCGAATATCATCCAAGCACTCTTCTACTTCGTCTTCTCTCTCTCTCTCTCTCTCTCTCTCTCTCTTGCTTGTTCACTCACTTACTTATGCTTTCTCGCTCTCTCTCTTAACTCTCTATCTCACTATTTCCCCTTTACTAAGAAACAGAGAGAGAGAGAGAGAGAGAGATAGATAGATAGATAGAGAGAGAGAGAGAGAGAGAGAGAGAAAGAGAGAGAGAGGAACGACGCGTTTCGAGCAAAAAGTTCAAACTCTGTGCAGTGTTCCATTCCTCTCTTTTCTCAACTGAGTTTGACAATCTATTAAATGCTGCAGAAATATGACGACGAAACAATCCTCTTTGACCTCAGTCTCTGTCTCTCTCTCTCTCTCTCTCTCTCTCTCTCTCTCTCTTTCTCGCTTTCTGTATAGTTTTCTTCCTTTCTCTCATAATGGCTTTAACGTACAGTAAGTTTTAGAAGCTTGAGACTTTTTATGCTATTAGACGAAGAATCTTATTTATAAACACGGATTTTTAATACTTTTGAAATGTGTATAATTTTCCTACATCCTTTTAATGTCGCGAGTATTATTATTATTTCATATATAAAGCTGTAAGAGTAATTCATATTTAAAGTTGTAAGAATAATTCGAGACAAATAGATGCAATGCACGGATAGCAATTGGTGTAATGTGACGTTGAAGTTATAGGAATTGTCGCTGTAAATTAGTACCCATAATATAAATGATTAGAATACGAAAATTTTGCATTTCTCTGTCAATTACTTGCAATACTTCTTAGCCGTGTAATTACATTCTCGAATTTATTACGTTAAAATACCAATTTACCAATCGATGGGAATACAAAAGAAATGAATTTGTGTTCTTTCGTTTAAAGACTTTGTTTGGTCACGTTTCGTCGAATCTTTGTTAATCTGCCGAGCGCTTTCGCAAACGAAATCGCAGTACTTAATGAAAGTGCCCACTGACACGGAATACTTAAAGCTCAAAAGCAAACAATAAGTAAATAAGTGCGAATTCCGCAAAGGCTGTAAGCGAGTTGAGCGTTCATTGAAGGAGAAGGAGGAGCTCGCGGCGGAGAAGGAGGAAGCAATGCGCGCATATATTGCGTACGGAAACGTCGAGTGTGCGCGTCTTCGCCATTGCGCGGGCAATATTTTTGTGGTGGATTGTACAGTCGACACGTGAACGTAAACGAGCGTGGATTCTTTGGTCGTACGGCTGTCCCGGCGGGTGTGTGCATCCGTTCGCCTGCGTGTAAGACTGCGCGCCCGCGCCCGCTACACATACACGCAGGCCTGCATCCATGTACGCGACACGTCCTGCCATTCCTACATCTCGCTGGAAAAGAGAAATATCCCCTTGCGCCGTTCTCGAGGTGACACGCGGTCACTAATGCACCACGTCCTCTACACTCTCGTATGAATGATTAAGGTAATGAGGAAGGCGCTCCAACGCTCCGATCTACGACCATCAAAACCACGGATCTTCAAGTTCCTCGACATTTATCAACTACGATTTTCACAGTCGGTGAAAGTCGTACATGAAATAGTAGGCGCGTCACACGAGTGTTGGTTCCCGTCGGTCGTCGTCCTTCTACGCTCGTACTCCATGTCTGGCGAATTTTGAAACTCTCCCGAGCTTAAATCGCTAATCGTTGTCGCTGGACAGACTGGGAATTAGCTAGAGAGCCTCCCCTTCCCTCGCCCTCCCTATGTTTACTCGACAATTTCTTGCCTCCTGCATACAAATGACGCTAGGTTCGCCTTCCCTATTTATTTTGAGTTGAACACTTTCGAGTCAAGGAATTATATACAAGTCCGGCTCGGCAACGAGATAAGATTTACGAATCGTTTGAAATGCGCGTGAGCAAGCCAATAGGAATTCAGAGTGACGCAGTGAAACAGGCCGCCGTGCTCCGTTTCTCCGTTTCTCGGTTTCTTGGTCTCTAGCTAGCGAGCCTTGGCCGAAGAAGAGGACAGACCTGAAAACGAGCGTTAAAGCGTAATGTAATAATTCACGTGTATGTACACAAATGCGCTCAGCTTGTCCACATTTAGAAGGGTGAGACGGAGCGAACGAGCTAGTCAGCGATACAAACGCACTTACACGCGCACTCGGGCACTCAGGCACGCACGCGAATATATATATATATATATATATATATATATATATATATATATATATTATTATATATTATTTATTTATTGATTTATTTATATACACACATATATATATATATATATATATATATGTAACATATACCATGTGTAATATATGATATAAGGAATATGTGATGTAAAGGTGGCCAGTTCCTAGAAAAATTACCAACTCAACTAACGAAACAATCTCTTTTTCTGTACAGGTGGGGATGAAGCGCGAGTCGCGAGGGCGGGAGGAAGTGGTCGCGGAGCATCCTGCTTTACCCTCGCTCATGGAACGCCTCTGCCGCGAGCGCCAGCACCTCGCGCCGCAGCAGCAGCAGCAGCAGGCTGGCCATTACCGGCGCCGCCCCGCGCCATACCGCCACCAGGAAGACCGTCAACAGCAGCACCAGCAGCAGCAGCAGCAGCAGCAGCAGCAGCAGCAATCGTCACGACGCCGCACCGGCGCTCGCCCCCCGCGCCCTTGCGGCCATGGGCTAGCCCGCAGTCCCAGACCCAGTCCCAGCCCCAGTCTCAGACTCAGTCTCAGACCCAGCAACAGTACCAGCAACAGCAGCAACGCGGCTCGCTCCCGTCCGCCTCGGACGCGCAGTCGCAGCAAGCACAGCAGCCGGCCCCGGGCCCGCTAACGGTCAACGCGATGCCGCCGGCGCCGCCACCACGGCCCCCCGAGGCCGTCAGTCTTCGGGCGCCGCGACCCAATGCCGAGCGCCTAGCCAACGAGTACGTGGAGGCGCCTTTTGGGCCACCGGGCCCCTCGCCCTCCGCCGCCCTCACCACCTGCCCCAAGCAACAGCAACAGCAGCAGCAGCAGCAGCAGCAGCAGCTGCTGCAACTGCAGCGTCAGCATCAGTATCAACAGCAGCAACAGCAGCAGCACCAGCAGCAACAGCAACAACGGCGTCGATCGCCGCCCCCGACGAGTCCCGGCCGAACACCCGTCACCAAACAGCCCGTCTCATTCACGAAGGAGCCCGCGGCCGGCACCCGGGGCCTCTCAATAATGTGCGAGCGCTGTAGCCGCTGCCGTTGCGAGAGTTGCCGGGAGCCGCCCCCACTGCCGAGTCGCTGGCTCTGTGACAATGCGTGCTTCTGCTCGGCCGAAACGGCCCTCGATTACGCGAGCTGCCTCTGCTGTGTCAAGGGCCTCTTTTACCACTGCGCGGACGGAGGCCTGGGGCCTGGGAGTCCGGCCACCCCCGAGCCCGACCCCGGGGCCGACTGCGCGGACGAGCCCTGCTCTTGTAGTGGCTCGCGCAAGGCTGCGCGCTGGACCTGCCTGGGAGCTCTAGCCCTCGTCCTGCCCTGTCTACTCTGCTATTGGCCCCTTAGGGCCTGCGTCGCCGGCTGCGAGGCCTGCTACGCCCGCAGGGCCGCCCAGGGCTGCAGGTGCGAACAGCGCTCCCAGCTTCCGGAGGCCCTCGCCAGAGACGCCAGGGACGCGCGAGATGCGAGGATCACCAGGGATGCGAGGGACTCGAGGGACCCGGAGAAAAGGCTCCTGGAGCCCGTGGGCCCGGACCTTTAGCGCCCCGGCTTGTATCGCATTAGTACAAGAGTTGCATTTAAGCGCGGAGCCTGAGTGTGAGTGCGTGCGTGCGTTAAGTGCGTAAGAGTGGCGGGCTAAGCAGAGGACCCCAATAACTAACCCCTTATTTATTAAACAGTCCTCCAAGTTGCAGGAGGGCCGCGAGAGTAAGCGCCACCTCCTCGTCGAGCCGACGAGCCGATCTCCCGGGGAGAGATATTATATATATATATATGTGCTCGTCGCGATCTGTCGCGAGGAGTATCGCCAAGGAGGAGTAAGGACGAAGAGGCAGCGGCCGACCACTTGCGCGCGATACATAGATAGATCTATATATTATACATATATAAATAATAACTATATATTGAAGATGGAAGAACTAAAATATATATTGTATATTACATTTGTATAAAGAACAAAACTTTTCTACAGTTAATTTATTCGTGGGCGTATCGCGGGTACACTATTATTACACAAGTCGCGACGTCGAGAGAGATGCTGCAAATATGGGCGACGAAGACAGACTATTATCTTTTCCTCTTTTTTTTTCCTTTTTTTCACTCTCATTATTATTATTATTATTATTATTATTATTATTATTATTATTATTATTATTATTATTGCTCTTATCATTATCATTACTATTAATATTATTATCATTATTATTATTAATAGTATGTTTATTATTATTATTATTATTATTATTATTATTATTATTATTATTATTATTATTATTATTATTATTAATAGTACGTTTATTATTGATAATAATTTTGGTGGAATTACGACTTAGAGAAACGTTACATCGAGGACCGATTCAAAGTTTTCCTAGAGAGACAGTAATTTCAGTTTTTCATTGTTTTCTGTCTCTCTCCTTTTTTTTTTATTATTCTGTATTCTACTGGTACTAATATTGTTACAGTTGTTATTCATCAATATTCTATATCTATTTAATTTTGCTCGGAAACGATGTAGATCTGTAAAAAATTAATATTCGGTCCTCGGTGAAAATAAATGAAAAATGAGGAAGGATTGATAAAAGCACACAGTCCTTCGAGGTGCTCGACAGGAGGGACGGACGCCCGCAATATCGGATGCGCGCATCTCCGTTGCGCGTTTCTTTTGACCCCTTCACACCTTCGCACCACAGGACCATCCCCTCCTGCCGCCTGCCCCCCCCCCCTCCATTCCCTCACTATCAACAAACGTTGATCGTGTTTTTCGGACGAGATCACTACATCGACTCTCCGGTCGAGCGCGTCGAAGGCCGCGAAAACACGCGATAAAAGCTCGGACGACGATTTTTAACAAAAATATTACGAAGTAGGAAATTAAGGATCAATCGATGGCTATAGATATTGTGAAATGATAGAGCGAGTGTGAGATTCGAAGGATGTTCTTGATGGGATTATTGTCGGGTGTTTTGACTTTATTAATTTTTCCAGTATTATCTAGTCTTGCGAACGTTTTTGTCAACGCGGTAAACCACGGCATAGGCTTTCTTTTCGATCGGAGCGTATATACGAATTATGTATGTGTATAAATGTAATTGAGTAAAAGAGAGAATAATAGAGATAGATAGATAGTTAGATAGAGAGAGGGGGGGGGGAGTGAGAATTTAGATTAGATGAAGAGAGACTGGGAGGGAGGAAGGATGGGAAAATCGGGAAAAAATGAGAAAAGAACGATTCTATCATGGAACGAATGATTGAGAGAGAGAGAGAGAGAGAGAGAGAGAGAGAGAGAGAGAGAGAGAGAGAGAGCGAGATAGCGAGAGATTTGTGAATGCTTGCACGCAGACAAGCCAATACCAACGATAACAAAAGTGGAACTTTTTTGATGAATTATTTTCTGACGTGTAAATATAGTGCGTCCTCACTTTTGCTCGGGAATTCGACATTTTGGTGTCTACTTTGGAGAAGGGCTGTCAATGACACTGATTAAATCGAGTTCCCGCCCACAAGTTCGGCCATGTATTAGCAGCCAAGATATAAAGGCGTACATAAGTTGTAATGCGAATATCTTTGCGAATAACACTTTATAGGGAAAAAATGTAAGATGGAAAGAAATGATAAAACAAGATAACTAGATTAGACATAAGTTGCCGATTGTACCAAGGTTTAAATAAAGTAACTCGCGAGCGAGGACCGCACTCCTTCGCCATATAACGTGTCACTTACCTTGAGAATAATAAAAGAAAAATTCATTCCTCCTGCACTGATTTTCTTAATGTACTACACTAATAAACAAATAAAAAAATGCAAGTAAGCATAAATAAGCATAAATAAGCAAATAAACAAGTAATCTGTACTCGTATCTGCACTCTCGCGCGCTAAGCGCGAGGAAGAAAGGCTTGGGTCCCCGTTCGCAAAAGCGACCAATCGAACGCCAGCGGAAGCAGAAGGAGGAAATCGACGAAGGTGGGTGAGCGATGCCGACGGAAGTCGACCAAACTATCACTTTATTATACTCTCTACGCAAATACATGTCGATGTATAAAACAATACTAGTAAGCTATGCGAGTCGCACTGGAGAAGAAACTGTTGAGAGTGCGGCTTCACATCGCGATTCTTCTTCGTGGTTCTTCTCCGGTGTATCAAATGAGACGGAGAATGTACACACGTGGGCGAAGTAATGGAGAGCGAGAGAGAGAGAGAGAGAGAGAGAGAGAGAGAACAAGCGATGATTGTGCCGGAGCTGCATGCGTGCGTGTTTGCATATGTACTGTTATACGATGTCTGTTGTATGCATATGATCGTGTGCGTGCGTGCGCGCACGCGTATGTGTGTGATTTTGTGTGTCCGCACGTGTGTGTATGTGTGCCTATGTATGACCGCGTATTGGTGCGCGATGTACGAATCGAAAAAATTATATATAAACAAGCTAGAATTATTGCCAACCGGGGACCGCCCGCGTGTCAGCGAGAAAGAGAAAGAGAGCGGGTGAGCGAATGAAAGAGAGAGAGAGAGAGAGAGAGAGAGAGAGAGAGAGGACTCGCCAAGAATCGAAAGGAGAGCGACAGGAATCCCCTTTCATTATCTGTATAAGGCCTACACACGCTCTGTATATGTCTTGTAAATATATATATTTGAAAAAAATTACGCTGATATTGACTAAATTCTAATTTATACGACCTTCCTGAATCCTCATCATGTAACTCTACCAAACAACCATCACTATTGATAACTATCATCGGAGCTGGCAATTTCATCTTTTCGTAACCATATATTATTCTGTTTTCATAACTGTATAGAGATTTATATTTGTTTGCTATAGATCGAAAAAAGTGCAGTTTACGGAAATAATTTTTCCAACTGAATAAATACTCTTATACTAAAAGAATATCATTTGTATTTAATATAACCGTTATTCTATATCGTTAATTTATTGAAATAAATCTCTATCCAAGAATACCCTAACCCTTGATGTTCCCGCTAATCATATCCGTTTTTCAGCTCTATTGAACTTACTTGTGATAATAATATTACTAATAATTATCGCTCGCACTGTTTAATATTAATGCTACTAAGAAGTTTATCGATAAAGATGATTATGTAACGGTAATTACTACTTTTTAATACCCAATTCCAGCTCTGTAATGTGCCTATAAATGTCGATAAAAAACTGAAATATTTATAAAACTCTGCCTGTTAAATACTTTCCAATGCTACAGTTTGTAAATGTTAACACATTAATAATATAAATGAAGTTTTATGGCAGAAATTATTTTGATTATAATCAGCAACAGATATTCATATTTATAAGTTAAAATAATAGACTTAGGATATGTTTATGGTTCTTTGTACGCAAGTAAACAACAATATTGTTCCGTGCAATTGGTCATCAAATCTCTATAACATCTATTTTACACCAATTAAAAGTTTATTCTTCATACGATGCGATTATTATACAAATTTATTATTTTAGTAAAATACTATATTTGTATTTGCAAATACAGTAATGTATCATTTATCTATTGAGATAATAAACATTTTTTTTTTTATAAATTCAAATACAAATACTTTTCATATATTTTTCCACACACACAAAATATATTTAATAAATAGATAAATAAACAAATATATAATATATAATAATTTATAACTACATTTTATCTACATTACAATTGCTACTTTTACACTTAACAGTATCCATAATAAAAAAAAATAAAATTAGTACTTTTTGCTAACATGACATAGCGTTTTAATGATACCTATAATAGCAATAATATCAACAACAATAATAATAGTATATTATATATATATATATATATATATATATATATATATATATATTAAGCAACATAACAAGATATATTTGATGAAATGCCCAATGCATTTAGATTTAGATATAAGCACAAGTAAGCGATCGGTCAAAGTGATAGGTATCGATCGGGGGTCAATCGTAATATATTGCGAAAAATAGAAATATGAAAGTTCTTATGCAATTAACTCGACAGCTACGGCTATCACGTAAATGAAAAGAATAAACATGAACAAAAACAAAAAAAGGAAGGAAATCAGACGGACGACGTCTCTTGAGGCTAGAGACTTTCGGTCTAGCCACCAACTTTCCTCACCGAAGGACGACGCAATCTCTGGAAGCAATTTTTGCGAAGATCCACGCCACGAAAATAAGATGAACTCCGTAATCGCCGCCAAGTTACAACATGGCTCTAGCGATGTTTCGCTTCTCTCGAAATTAATCGTGCTTGAATTAGATAGCTGTGGTAATGGATTCACTACAAGCTCCAGGATTTCATGTGTCAGATTTTCCGTATCCGCCAAGAGCAAAATAAAAGTGGAAGAGGGAGAGGAGGAAATAGAAACGATGCGGAGGATGGAACGTATAAAGTATTCATTCGAACTGATTTTTCGTTTTTAACGTTTCTTTCTGTATCATGAATATGCGATTTCAAATAAATTTTCAGTTCTTTATTTCGCGCGAATGGTTTTATGGTGTAATGTACAAGGATCGATTTATCTTCAGAATTTCTGTTCGATATAAATTTATATTATACTTTAGCAAGTCGTTAGTATTACTCACAGTATTTTAGCTTTTTTCATCTAGCTAAAAGTATGGCAAAATCTTAGTATATCATAATTAGTTAG